CATCCGTGAAAAGCAACAATTTGTACAACACAAGAGCCCTGCTTCTCTTATTCACACTTCATCCCCAGGACATAGCTTAAAATATGTGTTCAATAAACACTGTTAAATAGATGCTGTTTTCATCATCTTGGTCACTTGGATCTAGCACATTCGCAATATAATGCTCCTGGGTGAATGAATGATATGGTGCAGTACACGTAAATATGTCTTGCAAGACTTAGGTGAAGAAGAGAGATCATTGAGGACTAAAGTACTCAAGAAATATTTCATGTAGGAGTAAAGTCTTGAACCGTGAAATCTAGAGCTGGAAGAGATCTTACAGCACTAGTAGAATCATGTAATCTGGTTAACTCCCAAGAAAGTTTTCAAGGGTGCCAAGAGCAGCTTTATACCCCTAAGGTTAAACAGATAATTAAACTCGGGAGTAACTACTTTAAAATTGAGGAAATCCACATAAACGGTGGGGATTAGGGAACTGTAATAATAACCACCTGCTTGCACACTTTTCGCCTTCACTCTCCCCCGCCCCTGCTTCTTCCCTACACTCAAAAGACCAGGCAAGGGAGGCTATGTTCCTGGAGCCAGCCTGTCTCCAGAGAGTCTCTGTCAAAATGTGGAGCAAGCTGGAGGAGTATCTTTTGGGGAGGATTTACCCTTCACATCCTTTTATACCCACTTTACAATCTTTATCTAACCTGGTTCATGAAAGCTGAGAATCAACAATCTATAGCCCCTCTTTCACTTTACCGAGTTCCCTAGAGAAACTCAACCATTCACAGGCAACATTGACCAACCACCCTGTACTAACTATCCTGCTGCATATACCAGAAACTCAGCTGGGAACATAGTGGACATAGCATCTCCTTCTCAAGGTATCACTGGGTGGGAGAGAAAAGTACTGTAAATTACAAAACTCTACAGGAGTATATTACAACAGATATAAAACAGTATACACTCTAGAAACCCAAGAGACAAAATAACAATTTTGCATAAAAAGCCTGGCAAGGCTTTCAAGAAAAGGCAGTGTTTAAAAAAAAAAGAGAGAAAGAAAGAAAAGAAAAGGTGGTGTTTCATTCATTCATTCAACACTTATTGAGCATGTACTATGTACCAGGCACTTCATGGACACAATGAACATTGGCCCCAGATCTTAAAAGACTAAGTAGGGAGTTTACTACATAAAGAAGAGTAGGGGATGGGGAAGGATTTCTTAGTCAAGAAAAAAGCACACAGTCATGAAGTAGAAAAAACGCATGACAGACTGAGACATGGGTGAGATATTCAGCATGTCTAGAGAGGATGTGCTAAAGAAATAGAGAGGGCCAGCTTTAACTGCTAAACTAAAGTATTTAGAGTTTATCCTTTATGGACCATAGGAAACCAGTGGACATTTGTGAAGAGGGAAGTGACATGGTAAGTTTAGAGTTTTTTTTTTAAAGATCTCTTTTGTGGAAGACAGTCTGATGGAAGCAAGGCAAACAGTGACTTCCACACTGTCAACCAGTTCATTCATGGTAAAATTGACTAAAACCCAGGTTCTCTTATTCCTAGTCCCAGTATTCCACAGAATAGCTTGGGATTAAAAAGCAGGAAGAAGAGCTCAAGCAAAAAAGAAAAAAATAGATAAATGGGACTTAATCAGACTTCTCTACTTCAAAGGACACTATCAAGAAAGTGAAGGACAACCCACAGTATGGAAGAAAATATTACAAATCATATATCTGATAAGAATCTTGTGCTCAGAACATAAAAAGTCTCGTAACTCAGTAACAAAAAGACAAACCAAAAATGGGCAAATGATTTGAAAAGAAATTTCTCCAAAGAAGACATACGAATGGCCAATAAGCACATGAAAAGATGCTCAACATCATGAATTACCAGGGAAATGTAAATCAGACCCAATAGGATGGCTACAGTCAAAAAGACAAAAGAATAACTAGTGCTGGCAAGGATGTGGAGAAATTGGATCCCTTACACGTTGCTGGTGGGAATACAAAATGGCGCACCACTGTGCAAAATAGTTTGGTGATCCCTCAAAAAGTTAAACAGAATTATAATGTAATTCCACTCCTAAGGTATTTACCCAAGAAACATGAGAATATGTCCACACAAAAACACAGCAAAGAATGGAAACAAGACAAATGTTCACCAACAGACAAATGGCTAAACAAAATGTGTTACCACGGAATATTATTCGACCATAAAAAGGAAGGAAGCAGTGATACACATGCCACAACATGATGAACCTTGAAAACATGCTAAGTGAAAAGAAGTCAGTCACAAAGGACTACATACTGTCTGATTCCACTTATATGAAATGTCTAGAATACACAAATCTATACAAAGAAAGTAGAGTATGGCTGCCTAGGACTAGGAATGGCAGGGGTCGGGTTCAGAAAATGTGGAATAACTGATAATGGGTACAGAGTTTATTTTAGGAGGAACAAAAGTGTTCTAAAATTAGAAGTGGTAATGGCTGCCCAACTCTGTGAATATACTAAACACTATACTGAACACTTTAAATATGAGAATTATGCAGTATATAAATTATATCTTAATAAAATTGTTTGAAAAAAAGCAGTAAGAGGTTGGGGATTTCAGGCCATGGGAAGAGGAAAAAAAAGATGGGGAAGCAGTGAGCACTACAGCGCTGTCAATGGGCTTTGACAACTTTCAAGATGCCTTACAGAAAGGATCTGGGGCCAAGAAGGCCTGGAAGACAAGTAACAAGGGGCCCCACTTGCCCATCTGCAGGCTGTTGAGTAGGAAGCCTTCCTAAAGTCCCTTGGTCCTGATAGTCCAAATCCCCTACTTGTTAATTACCTTGCTTCTAGTTAATCCAAGTGTCTTCTAGAAGCCACAGGAGAAACATGGTACATCTCCCTGAAGCCACAGCAATTTTTAGAATGAAAAGAAGTAATATGTTATGAAATGCAAAAATCTCTCTATTTTTTAAGTAAAAAGCAAGACTTCAAAGAAGATGCATGACTGCAACAAGGTTAATTCTCTTATGTCTAGGGGCACTTGAGTGGGTAAGTTTGAGCATTACCCTAAGAATCTGTCTTATACCAACAGGAGCACCTTAGTCTGTATCACTCCCCCTTGTAGAAGCCTTGCTTAGGTGGTTCCTAAATGCCTCTGGAATCAGATGTAATCACGAGACTGAAGTCAGTAAGTCCTTATTCCACCTCCCACCCTCCCACCGCTGTCCCCAGCACACTCCTATATGCACCGTGTTCTCTTCCTGCTCCTGCAGCTCTCTGTCCCCACCACCACCATACACGTACTTTTCCCTCCTCAATACCTCGCACTCCTCTCTTTGGAGCCACTGTGCACATGTCCAAGGCCCTGCCTATTCCCTGCCAAACCACCCCAGTGGCTCCCCACCCCAGCTGCAGTCCCTGTGAATGCTATGACAGTCCCTTTCCTCTCCCTGTCCCTCTCCCAAACTAACTGCATGTATCCAATATTTTCACAAGGGCCAAAACGTCACAAAAGACTGTGCCCATGTGCCCAATTAAGCCCTTCTGGTATCATCATTTTTCTAGATTCTTGAGAAAGTTTGCCTTCTCCATACGATGGCTAATATTCCTGAGTATACAAGATGTGCCTTTTTCTAGCATGAAGCCTTTCTCACATACAGCTTCATTTACTCCTCACAAGAAATCTAAGATATAAGCTCCATCAGCACCCCCTTTTTATCTCAAAAGAACCTGACATGTAGAAAGGTTAAATAACTCAAGATCACTCAAATAGTAAATGGCAAAAACGTGACCAAAACTCTAGCCTGTCTGCCTCCAAAGTGCATGTTCTGAGCTATGTCCAACCCATCATAAGCAGCCAGAGTCCAGAAGAGTCCCCCAGTCCCTGCTGCCATCCATCAGGACCATCTTTCCACTAAATTATCTAAGACCCTCTCTTGCTTCTTGGCTTCCTAACTCAACCAGCTTTGGAGCAGCAGAAATTAACACGTCCCCATCCCCTTTCTGGGATGAGAGAAGATGTGTCCATGGAGGATAACCCGAACAGCGGGAAGGAAGCCGGGGCTGTGAAATCTCCTGTCTCGGCTCCCCCTCTTCCATATTTTCATTTTAAACTTGAAGAATGTGATCACAATCAAGTGCAAGTCAATCTGTACCTGCACATTTTCAGGTCTTCACAACTTCAGAACATTCTAGAGAAAAACCAGTAACTTTTTCAAATCAAAGTGTTCAGGAAATTAATGATTCCTTAGCTTCTTCGGATTAGCCTTCAAATTCTGAGTCCAACAACCCTTACACAGGTTTTGCCGCTTACCATTCTGAGCTTGTTCTGTAGGCCTGCTGTGAATTGTAAACATTTCCATTACTGCTGCTTGCACGGCTCATCATGTCCCAGTTATATATTAGTCGACCATACGCACTATAATTTAAAAATCATATAATTGTCTTTATTTTTAAATATTCTGTGATTCAGAGGTTTCACTCAGCCCGACAGCCCTTCCTCCTACTCATCCCCATCCCACCTCATTACTCCGATTAGAGGTTTGACTGTATGCTACAAACACACACTTGCAGACAGTAACTCCTGTGGACTAATGGAATTCAGATTCAAAGCCTGAGAAGCAGCTATAGGAAAGGCATCTGAGAGAAGAATTGCACTTGACGGACAGCAACTCCATGGCTGGCTTAGTTAACGCTCCCAGGAAGCCTGACCCAGTGGGACCTAAATTTGGTGCACAGGTCTTAAAAAAAAAGAGGCTTGGGGGATGGGAGGAATTTCAAGAGCACAAGAAGGTATTAACGAAAAAAAGGATATTAACATCACCACAGCTAGGCCTCCACGTCTCGCCTAAAGAGCTTGCTCTGTGTGTAACCCTCTGCAAAATGTACAAATGTATATTTATGTATTTATATCAGCCATGGGGTAAAACAGCATAATTATATATCAAAGTCCATGAAGATAGATATTTATAAAGAATAATGATCCAAAAGTCATCAAATTTAAACTGTTTGAGGGGGGAGGGTATAGTTCAAGTGGTAGAGCGCATGCTTTGCACGCATGAGGTCCTAGGTTCAATCCCCAGTACCTCCATTAAAATAAATAAGGAAACAAAAAAACCTAATTACTCCTCTCCCCCAAAATAAGAAAAATTAATTAAAAATTAATAAAATAAAGTAAAATTTGTTTTAAAAAATTTAAATCAATTGAATTTTTTTAAGGGAAATAGGGTGAATGCTTCATTAAATATCATTACTCCAGTTCAGCTGAGCATCGGGCAGGGGGAGGAGAGAGGTTGCCTCTAGTCCAGCAATGATGGGACACACTTCCCACCAGCTCTACGAAAGAGCCACCACTAAGACAAGGCAATAAATTTCACTTAACAGTCATTCCACTGAGGCTCAGGGAGCATACACCCTGCACCAGACACTGTTCTGCAGATTCTAAACACTCAATCTCGGCCCTCAAGGAGCTTCCATTGTAACTGGAGGAGAGAGAAAATAAAGAAATGTTGGGTGGTGATAAGTGCTAGGGAGTAAAAGAAAGCTAGCCAGAGATGGGTAGGAAAGAACGTTATTTTATGCGGGGATATCAGTGAAAGTATCTCTGAGAAAGTGTCATATAAACAGAGACCTAAAAGAAGTGAAGGAGGGAACCATGCAGAATATTTGGCAGGGAAAAAAGCAAATGCAAAGCCCTGAGGCAGGAGCATGTCTAGTGTATCTGAGAAACAGCAGGGAGGGAAGTGCAGCTGGATGGGATGAGTGAGGAGAAGCGTGATGCAAGATGAGGTCAGAGAAAGGGCCACAATGTGCAGTCTTGAAGCCTCGCAGGGAATTTGAATTTTACTCTGAATGAAACAGTAAGCCAATGGAAAGTTTTGAACATGACTGGACTTCTAGTTTGTAAAGTTTGCTCTAGATACTGTGTAGAACACAGGGGCAAGGGTGGAAGCAAGGAACCTATTAGGAGGCAAAAGGTGACAGTGGTCTGGACTTAGAGGTAGCACGGGAGGTAGTGAGAAGAGGTGAGATTCTACAGATATTTGGAAAGAGAGATATTACCCACTGAACCAAGAGTGGAAGTCCTCAGAATATCTGTGGCAGACCGCAAAAATGGCCACAAATCCTTTCCCTCCTTGATTTCATGCTATTGCAGTATAATTTTAGAGCCCCTCCCACAAAGAGGTGGAGTCTCTCTCCACCCTTGGGATTTCAGTGCATTTGTACCTTGCTTTGGCCAATGAGAGAACAGCAAACACAATGCAAGAGATCTGAAAAGTACTTAAGCATTTATGCCTGCCCTTTCTCACTGCTTTACAGAATCCCACAACCCACCACATAAAGAAGCCCAGGCTAACCTGCTAAATGTTGAGACTCACACAGCCCAGACACCTCTGTAGCCACAGCCAATCAACAGTCAGCCAACAATCAGATATGTATATGAGACCACTATGAACTAGCCAACTGCAGATACATGAGCGAGCCCAGCAGAGGCCAGGACCATCACATAGCTGAGCTGAACCCAGCCCAAGTTGCCAAACCACAGAAGACTGAGCTAAATAAATGGCTGTGTTTTAAGCCACCAAGTTTGGAAGTGGTTTGTTAAACAGCAAAAGCAGATTCAGTATCTTTTTTATCCCCCAAATCGAAAGCAAACCACCAAGCTCTCTTGGTTTCTCTAATGGCATTACACAAAAACAAAATTTCAATTCTAAAGTCAATTGATACAGAAGAGGTACCATGTTGATGAGCTGATTAGAAAAGGAGAGAGCACAAGTCGCAAATTACTGTGTAGCTCATTTAAGTGTGATGTGTGACAGCCAGGGAGCTGAGTTCTTCCTGAAATAAAATCACCAAGGTAAGAATCTCAGAAAACTGTAAGAATAAGAGATTTCACACCAACAGAATTTATCTTGCCAATGTTCTATACAACATTTCTGAAAATTATTAAGTATTTTATCCGCCTGCTAAATATCAAAAATAATGCTTTTCAAGGTTATTGAGATAGATGAACAATAAAAGCTCTTTCCTTATAGAAGAGAAACCAATTGTATGAAGGAGATCAAGACCTGAAATCACTCTTCCTTGACTGATACAGACAGACAGATAGATGATGGGTAGATGGAGGATGGAAAGGTAGAAGGACAAACACACATGCATCAAATAATATTTTGAATGTTAATTACTCTGAGTATAAGTATGCTGTATGGAGAGACTCCCATGTGTATTTCCTCATGTTACAAATGAGTATTTAAAGGCTTAATCTGATGATTTCAATGTTAAATGGATCATTTTATTCCCACTAGTTTGCTTACTTTCATTAGTTTGGAAAACAGACACAGGACTATCCTTCCAGTTTTTAATTAATTTTTTTAAATGTCAAGGTAGAAAGTGAAACCCTCCATTCGTATTCCCCCAAAGATAAAGACTGTTAACAGTTTCTTTGTATTTCTTTCTAGACAATGTCTCTCTTAAAAGTTATATCTGACACTGCATTTCTCAAAACTAAAACATTTTTCATTTTTTCAAACTACCCCTATGAATCAAGTAGAATCCTCTGTGTGTTCTAGCAGAGCTTTCCAAATTCTATAAAAATCTAACATTCGTATTTATTATATGCCAAACAACTTGATTTCTGAAATAGCTCATCTATTAATACCAAAAAAAAATACAACAGCAGTGAACGATTCCACTCTTCCTCCAAATTTTTTTTTCTAAAATTTGAAACCTAAGTATTTAATGGGTGGAGGAAAAATTACCTTTTTTGGACCTGAAACAGAAACTGTTTAGATGGTTAAATGAAAGCACTTGCCAGAGTTTATGGGCTTAGTTTATATTTGACGTGTGGAAATGGGTCTTTGGGAAGATAGGAAATTCCTGGAGACAGAACCTGATTACCTCTGTTTCTAAAGCTCTACTCACCAAATTAAAGGCCTCCCAGGGTCACAGACTAGTCTATTCCGACTACACACTGCAGCTCCTTTCAAGTACAAACAACAAGGACAGATAGACAGACTGAGTCCTATCAAATTATGCATAGCAAAATGAAAAGCCCAGAAGATGAGGCTGCTAGTAGAAGAAAATCATCCCAAATCCTATAGATTTTCAAAACTATGAACCACTACGTGTGTTCTTCATGTTACTTAAAAATTTAGCAAACCACATCAAATCCTTGCACCTCTTAATTATATTCACTAATGAAGGGACAGAAACATGGATAACCTAAAATTCACTTCTTCCCGAGTGTGAAGAAAATGTACCGATTGTAAGGGGGTGGGAGGCAGAGGGTAGAAGCTGGGAGGGTTTCCTACTACAGCAAGCAAACATGTCCTTTATAATTATGTTTGCTTAAGGACAGAATTAAAATAAGCTTTTTTAGGTTTCCTGAACACACACCAAACAAAAGTAAGGACAGCCTGGGTGAAGAAGAAAGTCCATCTAAGAGAAAAGAGAAACTACATAGAGGCCCGGAGTAGTAATTTTTATAGCCCTTCTCTCTCATTAATCATGACAAGCCAGAACTCGTGCATCCGAACTGACATAAATCCCTACAAGGCAAGAGGGGCCAACGGGAGAAAAAAGACTGAAATATCCACTCCCTCCCACAGCTCACTCTTTCACTCTCACACCTCCCCCACCTACCCACCCAGAGGAGACTATACAAACGTGATGCTTTTCGGGTCCTCAGTTCCAGCCCAGTGGAAAGATTTCTACGGTATATTTCAAGGAGTGCAGCAAAGTGTCAGGTTAGTGCCAGCAGCAACTCTGTGAACCAGCAAATCTCTGTTTGGTCTAAACCTGAAGTGTGACAGGAAACTGAGTAGGTTTTATCGTCAAGGGATATTAAAATTCATTTCATGTTTGTATACTATTTCTGCTCTTCAAAGCTGATCAAATAAATACTACTCAATAGACTCCACTGAATTTTGGTATCTGAACAATCACCATATTCATTCATTCGTTCTATAAACACTCATTTCATGTCTTCTGCATGCCAGACAGACACAGTCAGTTCCCAATCACAGCTGAAGACACTGAGGATAAAACCAGAAGAGGAAGCCTTTCAAAGCACTTGGCAACCTTTGATAATCCTTTCAGAGACTGTGCTCTGTCCAAAGCAGCAACATTTCTGCTACCCAGAGTGGGGCAGAATTATAAACATTTGTCTTTAAAGCTATGTTCAGTTTATTAGACAACATAACACAAAGGTCTCTTCATTTTAAAATATATATGTACATTCATTAAAAGAATATTTAAGATACAAATCAGAAAAGAAAAAGGACTGAGTAATGTGACAATGAATGTATGTATGTATGTTCATGTATAACTGAAAAATTGTGCTCTACACTGGAATTTGATACAACATTGTAAAATGACTATAACTCAATAAAAAAGTTTAAAAAAAAAGAAAAGAAAAAGGACTGAGTAAGAAGCAACTTTTTTTTTTACCTTTTTTTAAATTGAAGTATACTCAGTTACAATGTGTCAATTTCTGGTGTAGAGTATAATGTTTCAGTCATACCTATATATACATATATTCATTTTCATATTCTTTATCATTAAAGGTTACTACAAGATACTGAATATAGTTCCCTGTGCTATACAGAAGAAATTTATTTTTTTGATCTATTTTTATATATAGTAGTTAATATCTGCAAATCTTGAACTCCCAATTTATCACTTCCCACCCCTTTTCCCCCTGGTAACCATAAGGCTGTTTACTATGTCTGTGAGTCTGTTTCTGTTTTGTAGATGAGCCCATTAGAATCAAGAAGCAATATTATGAGCCAGCACTGCTTTGTATACATAAAGAATTCCTTTCCTACCTGAAAGGATGGCCTCACTCCTTTCAAAAATGTGACGGGGCACCACCCTAGATAATGTGAATACAATCATGAATGGACATGGTCCCTGACCCCAAGGATGGAAAAATTATGACAACTGTCAATTACCAAGTATCTAGCATGTATGAGGTATTGGTCTAGACATATCACATACACCATCTCTCAAACTAATCCTGCAAGATAGATATTATCACCACTTTACAGATGAGAAAACTGAGGTTTTGTCCAAAGTCACCCAGCTTACAAG